TGTTTCCGTCTACTTGTCGACTTATTGCAAAGAAGAATAAAACAATTAATTGAACGTTAAAGTAGTAATTGTACAATAGAATATTATTATTATGTTCACAATGTACTGTAGAAGTTTAAATAATAAATCTATAATCTATCTTTAGTTATTACTTCTTATATTATAATACTACATATATCTATGTAAACTGTAAAGAATTATATTATAGTAATTTGCGATCAATCTTGTTTTTAAAATATGTAAGCACTATTATACTTTGCACATTAAGTAATAAGGTTCCTGAATTGATACCTATATAAATTATTAAAAATAAAATGTTAACAATTAATAAATTACTGATAATTATTGTTAATTAGATGCCAGAACTAGATGCTGTTGTTGTTGCTCAAATAGCTTATAGAAACAAAAATTCTAACATATCTACTTACATATTTCAAAGATCAAAACTATGCCATGTTTGATTAATGCCTGCCGTAGAAAAGATAAGTGGAATCATAAGACCAGTACACTTGTAGTACATTTTTGAAAACGATTTGAAGTTGATTTGAGAAGCCAATTAATGAACATCAAAATAAAAAGAAATTAAACAAAAGGGTATCAATTATTTATTATAATATTTATTTTTACAATTATTAACCTTAATTTAATTTTTGTTTAGCTATTCTAACACAACATTTAAAAGAGAGAAATATTTACCAAATGTGTTAATTCAATACATTATCATCTAGGACAAGTACGTGCAAATATAAGTGTGAAATGCAACTATTGTTCAAAGTTTAATGTTACTAAACCTAAGAGAATAAAGAGATATAGCAAAGAAGATGAAGTACAAGTATTAATGAAGAGTTGCCTACTTTAATTAATGAATCAATTGAACATAAGTACCAACAATTACTTAACGACCATGACAATTATCAGTATAAATATTTATTCAATTCAATAGATTTCAAAAATCGTATTAATACTTTGAACAAAAATGCATTATTCTTCTCAAAATTTAGAACAATTGCAAACTCATATCTTAAATGAATCTTTAAAAACAGTGTTCAGTCAAACACAATTACAATTAATAACTAAAAGAAAAAGTGATTTGGAGCACAGAAGATATTTCAAAAGCTTACATTACGATATCTTAGTAAAGGTGTTACATTTATCTAAGAACAAATTGAACTATCCATTGCCACATGTATCAACTTTAGTTAAATGGCTTCCGATTAAATTTCCGTCAGGTATTTTGTTGACGTTATTAGAATAATGAAAATAGCAGCTAAATTTAATAGTATTGAATTATTGTATTATTCAATTTGATGAAATGAAGATATTATCGCTTATGAGTATGATAAAAACGATCGTCATAGGGCCCCACAGTCAAATGCAAGTATCATGGTGAGAGGCATCTTTAAGAATTGAAACAAACTAATATATGTCAATTTTGATCAATTAATTACACCGGAAATTTGTCTGAAGTTATATCTATTTTATATGAAAATTCATAATGTGGTTGCCTGTATCTGATTGTGGTGTGGTAATGTTGGGTTATGGAAGAAGTTGGGTATAACTATTGACAAAACATTTCTACATCCTAACACAAAAGAAAATTTATTTGGCAGATGCCCTACATCTTCAACTAATTCGAAATTGGCTTTTTGTGACATGATTTATTCTTTCAGATTGGTTGTATGATAAATGCAACACCATTAAAAGAGAGTTACTTTTGAAGTAACTAATACAGAAATTTCAGTTTGTCGCAGATTATCACAGAAACATTTGAAATGTGAAAGGCCGAGAGACAAAATGTCGGATTAGCGCAATAATTACTCTCCATAGTGTTGCTACAGCTTTGATCCATTATAAACCAGGTTTAAATCAGGATATCGGAAAATACTGGTCACTTTATTGAAGTTGTGGTAACTGTATGTTTGACATAGAATTCATGTATACACCATCTGAAACTTTAGCACCAAAAGCCTATGGCTATAAATTTAGAAGACCAGAATAATTGTTGATAAAATGATAAGGTAATATATTCAATGAGATGTGTAGGCAAAATACTTACAAACATTTCAAAGAATTTTGATTTCAAATAATCTACCAATTACTTTTGAAGATTTGAAAGACAATATAATATACTCTTATAGTCACCACAGACTTCAATCAAGATAATCTTGAAAGTTTTTTAATTAGAAGTGGGGGAGGACTTAACGACCATTACTCCCTAAGTAAATGTACAGAATTAGGAATACATGTGCTCGGTAAAACACCAGGAATGGTACAGGACAAACTTAATATTGAAACACCACAGGAAAATTAAATTTGGAAGGAATATTTGGTAGCAAATGTAATGGCAACTGCAGATGTTAATATCCCTTTCAATAACGAGAAAATGATTTCTCGATAGTTTGTCATCATCTGAGTCATCATCAACACAAAAATAATCTTCCAATAACAGTTGAATGAAGAATGGTTTTATTTATTTGTGTGTTGGCTTGCCCGTAAGATCTAAAACAAATATCCTACTTTAAGGTTGTTATACCAAAGACAAAAACCAATCATTCATATAAGCGCACCAGAGTTCACATACATCCATTTGGTGGTTTAATGAACCGTTCATTGATTAAGCTAAGGTAAAGTTTTGAAACCTCTTAAAAGTTTCACAAGAAAAATTGATACCGAATCAAATATTGTTAAGATTAACTAAATAATAAAAATGTGATTGCCTGAAGATTTAATTTGTAGTATTCTCCAAAGGACTTAATTAGAATTAAACTGTGAATGATAATCTTATAGCTGAAAGATCTGAAGGTAAAACATCAAGCACGATAGAAAATCAACTAAAAATGAAAAATAATAACTTAAATATTGTAGGGATTGTAATATTAAAAATAGTATTTAAACCTTATTATAATATTTTTACTTATATTAATTGTTCCTGATTCTAATTAATTAATGTAAATGTGTAAATATGATAATATATATATAATTTAAATATGATAAATAGGTATTTATTATACCTTTATTTGTAAAATTATTAATTGGTTATGATTGTATTTGTAAGATTAAAGTTTGAACTTGTAAATTTATCTATTTTTGCATAATTTGTTTCAAATACATTATTATTATTAAATGTTTGTATTATAAATTATGTTAATGTATTTATGTAAATAAAATTGCCAAGCTAAATAACAGTTAATTTTAAATATATCAGTTCTAAATCATCTCAATACTATTCATTGATATCCATAATATTTTATATGTTAAAATACGTAATTAAATATGAACAGAATAACAATCTTAGAACCCCAGGAAATAATTGATCTTAGAAAAATCTCCAGAACTGACTATTACTCCTAAGTTATTACTCATAAAATGATTGAACAATTATTTTTGAATGTTAATTAGTGTAATAACCTACTATTTATTTAATTAATTACAAATTATCATAGATAGGTATATACTTTCATTAAAAATAAAACCAAGTTTATTAAAGAAACATTAAATTAAAATCAATTTAAGTTCAAAGATGAAAATATATATTAAATACGCTTGTCGTTACGTAGTATTGCCGGCAGCCGAGAATTTAGGTCTCATTGACGTCATATAACAATAATCGTTTTAATTAGCTGGTGTTTTTCGACCGTATATCTATTATCCAGGGCCGCCGCCGAGCTGGTTCACACATGCGCAATACGCGTTACTCATCATAATTTTGTCGGGCGTTTAGTATATTTAGTATGATATTAATTCTCTTTGGCGCATGCCTATTGCGTACGTGTCATACTATTTGCGTTATCACCTGCGATTGGTGCTTTGGGCGGGAAAAAAAGACGCCGACAAGAGTCGCCGCCGCCGCCGAGCTCGTTTACACACGCGCAATATGCGTTTCTCATCATAATTGTCGGTTGCGTAACGGACGGCAGTATCGCCAGTGTCGTTTTCGTCATTTCTCAGCCTGCCTATCTCGTCGGACGTCTCATTCCCGAGCCCTGAGTCTCCCTACCGATTTGTCCTGGAGGTCTTGGATTGACGCAGTGAAACATACGCTATAATTTCTACGGTCGTCGTTTTTCACATTCACCGGCTTAGATCTCTAACCGTCCTCGCCGCCTTACAGCTTGTCAACGTCCGAAGTGAGTACTTACTGTAATATGGTCGGGCCATTAACCAAATAGTGGCTTGTTCTGCTACATCGCGACAGCTACGTCATATGCGGTTTAGTCGATCCTCTTTAGCCATTGTACCTACGCGAGTAGTTATGATGACATGGCCTCGAATTTCAATTCTAAAATCGCGAATCTCGTCTCGGTTATTTCGTGAAGAGATAAATAAATCATTTCACGTTGTGCTAAATGTAGGCGTACAGTTCATAATAATCCTCCCTCCCACCCTCCCATACGAATAATGTTTTTTGTCCAATTAAAAGATACTGACCTACTAATATACAATATTCTTGTTCTTTATCAAGCTTACTTATACTACTTAGTTAAAATGACTTCACTGGTCAATAACTAGCTATCCATTACTATCAAAGGCGTGTCCAGACCTCTGTGGCTGGGAAGGCAAATTGTAAAATTTTAGGTTTTACATTCTACATTTATACTACACATAAGTGAAACTAGAGATTTTTATTAGACTGGGCCAATTTTCCTGATTAATTCCGATATGTATTTATATACTGTGGCAGCAGAATGTGTAAAATTCTTAGTATTATTTTTTTTTCAAACTTAAGAATTATAATTTAAGAATATTTGTGTTAAATATCAAAAAAATGTTATTTAAAAATAAAAGTAATAATGTATATAAAGGTATGTATATTTATATATATATATATATGAGTACTTATAGTTCAATTTTTTTTTCTCTGTAAGGTCAAAATTCTAATTTCTTTGATTTAACATAATATTATCTATGTGCTGTTACCTATATTTGTATAACATTCTATATTTTTATATTTAAAAATTACTAAAATGCAAACAATAAAATTAATTTTTTTTTAATGATATAATTAATACATTTTAATATTATTTAAATCAAGAAAATACTTTTCAAATATCAGAGAATATTAATTATAAAACTAAACAAAGATAATATGGAACCATTTTTTAAACATTTCTGATTACTTTATTGACGTTGATATTTTTTGCCATGATGTATCTCAATGTATGGAAGTAATTAATTGCTTATTGATGTTCCTGGTCATAGTGGTACAATAGGTTTAGTTTTAACATATATATCTGTAGTACTTGCATTATTATAATCAAAACCATTTAAGATAAGCAAACAAATAGTCTGAATAACAAAATATAAATGAAACACTATAATATTATTTGTGCATTCCATGTTATTTTATATTTAAAAAAAATAAATACTATGTTAAGAACTTAAAATACTTCTAAAACTAATTCCAGCTAAGTTATAATTGATTAATGTTTTACTAAAAACTAATAATATTTATTTAGAACATTTTTACTTATTTTCAAATATATTTTCTTATATAATATGTTATATTGTTATGTATTATTATTTATTATTACACATCACATATTATTATATTTAATTAATATATTAATTGTACTGTAAATATTAGTACGGGATAAGATTTGCTTGGGCCAAGGCCCAGTTGGCCCAGGTCGTAGGTCCGCCTATAATACTATATTTATAGTTTATTCCTACCTAATTTTAATTATGACTCTTTTCTTATAGTTCTACAATATAAACACCTATAACTTTTTAAATAAATATGTAAACATCTAAAATTTAAAAAATCTCCGTTACTATACACAGTGGTGTATTAAAGGGTATATCTGGATCCCTATTTTTGGATTTATACGTATACTTTTAAGAAAATTTGTCTATTATGAATATACGCCAACTGAAAACGCATGCATTATGGGTACGCGCAAAGCTTCTAGTTTATCATAATTCTTTAGTCATAATTAATATCAAAATATACAATAAATAATAATATACAATTATTATTATTTTATTATGTTCACTATTACACTATCCAAAAATATCCTTGATACCGTATAAAGTTTAGAATTCGGAAACTGGCCGAGCTTGTATACTGTTTAGTGTAAATATTAAATATTAGCATCAATATTATGGAAGTTTAAAAGTATGTGTCCATATCGAATATTCCACTGAATTTTATGCAAATATTTTTTAAAATATACCTATTCAAATACTTTTGGTGCATATACCTATAAGTTTATTTACCAATACACCACTGACTATACAAAATGTCAACTGTCAAGTTAAATGAATGCTAGGACATAAAAGCAAACCATTAATGTTATTTTGGTACTTACCCATTAAAAGGTATGAAAAAAATACAATTAAATTATTATTATTAAAAAATGTTTATGTTACTACAAATAGGTAATTAATAAAAAAGTGTAAAAATAACAAATAATAAAATATAGTAAATTAAAAAGTTCATTTTACAATTCCATGCTTATCTACTGGTTTTAATATTTTAAAAGTATCAGTCAAGTCTTCAATATTAATATTTTAGGCAAATTCTTGTTCAATATTTATAGCTAACAATACTTTCAAACGGTCTTGAAACATTTTAGCATTGTGCTTCTATGTTTGATTTTGATGAAAGTCAACTTAGAAAAATGTCTCTTATACGAACAACTTGTAACTGGGATAGTTACAAATTCTTTTACAACTTCATTATATTGAAAATTAGATTATTGTTTAATATTTTAATATAATTGTCTGATGGTAAAACTCTCCAATAAGTCCTCCCTTATAGACACGCCTATGGCCTCTACCATAAGATAAAATGTAATTCTAATCGAACTATAATATACTAATATTATGTCATTGTGGTAATAGTGTAATAACTTCATTCCATGATGGCTGTATAATTTAGACTATAACAGAAATTTGTTAATAAAATATTGTTTTATCTATATTGTAATAGGTTTCTAGCATCAAATTAAGTATCAAAAATGGAAATCGAATTACTCGACATGGAAATCATTGCTGAACAAAATCCAGTCAACAAACTAATCACTAATACAAAACGCAAATACGATATAATCATTTTTGGTGCTTCAGGATATACTGGAAAATTTGTCGTTTTAGAAATGGGTCGCCTTTCTCAAATATACAATTTAACTTGGGCTGTTGCTGGACGTAACACTGCAAATTTACGAAATGTATTAAACAGATTGTATCAAGGTAAATTTCCTTACTTTATTATAGCTATTACTATTAAACAATTATTCTTTAGTATTTACAGATAACAGCTTTCATTTTTTAAGGAACGTTAAAAACCATTGTGTATATGTTTAAGTTTTTAACTTTGATAACAACAATGGTGTTTTTCGTTTCTATAAATGATGTTAAGCACTGTCTCCAGTATTAAGGTCACTTTAATGCCAAAGCATAAAATGTGATTGTATTTTTATTTATTTAAATATTCATAAAATAATATATTGCTTAAAGAAATAATAATGTTGAACATTATAGGTCTAGAAATATAATACCATAGGTATTATTATTTATGCTTAGTAATTTTTAATGTATTTATCAAATATTATATAGATGGTTATGAAGATAAAAAAATTGATGTTATTTATGCCAATGTATACGATTTTGAATCTGTAATGAGAATGGTTCAAAAAACTTCTGTGGTTATAAATTGTACTTCACCATATTATATATATGGAGAAGTAGTTGTCAAATCTTGTGTTTTGACATCTACTCATTATGTAGATGTTACTAGTGAACCATTAGTAAGTGAGATGTATAGGTTGTTTAAATTTAGATAAATTGTGATTTTTGTATTGAGATTCTAAAGAATCTGCCAACATCATATTATTATTATTATTATTATTTTTTTTTTGTATTTTAGAGAGCATGTTGTTATTAATTTATTATTATTATTATTATTTTTATTTTTATTTTTTTTTTTTTTGTTGTATTATTGTTTGTTATGTTTAAAAATTAACAATTAGACAAGTAAAACTGTTCTTAGAAAATATTACTTTGATATTTTTTAATTGTTTGTATTTGGTTATTTAATACATTTGCAATTATAGTTTATGGAGAAAATGGCATTTAAGTATAATAAAAAAGCTGAAGAGAACAATTCAATAATTGTTAATGCACTTGGTATGGATGGTGTACCTGCTGATCTTGGAATAGAATTTTTATACAAACATTTTGATGGTATATTTACAATTTATAGATACATTAAAAAATATATGTATGTATATATTATATATAATTATCTGAATTTTTGTATTTATTTTTTAGGTAAATTGAAGAATGTTGACATGTACATGAAAATTTATCTAAGGTCATTTGTGTTTGTTGTGAGTAATATATTTTTACTTGTATCATAATAAATAATAAAAACTCTTATAATACACTAAAAATATTATCATCAATTATAGAAAATAATATTAAGCTTTTATTGATATGTTTTGTAGTAATAAATAATTGATTTAAAACAATGTGGCTCAACAATCTTTTTTGATATTAAATAAAATTAATGTAAGATAATATTTTTTTTTGGTGACAAGTTAATCTCATAACATAAATACTAATTTTCAACTTCATTACCGCTATATAATACATTAAACAAAGATATTATTCTTACGTTTTTATTTTTCAAAATAAAAATATATTGTTTTTTAATATTTCATTTTATTATGCAAGTATTCAAATTTTTATGTAAAAATCCAATTTAATACATGACCATTTTTAATTTTTAACTGACTATCCTAATAAATTATGATTGTATTTTAGAGCGGATTTTTCCATCAAAGTGTTTGGATAAGTGCTTTGCTGCATTTGGCTTCTAAGACTCAACGACTATTCTACCGAGATTTGTTAGATGATTTAATGGGAATAACTAGAACACAACCAAATGTTTCCAAGTATGTATAATTTTTCAATATCTTTGTGTTTGTTTATTATATTTTTTCTCTAATTTTTATAAAAATATTTTTTTACTGGGTTCCGGTTAATTATTGTAGCACAATATTAGTTTCATATGCTAAAAAATGTCAAAATAAAACATAATTTTTTATTTTAAGTATGTTTTTTTTATATAACATTGTTTTAACAAACAATTAGAATAATTTCATTACATATCAAGTTTTATGTTCAAAATGAACTAATTTTATTCCAACCATTCAATTTAATATTACATCAATACTCTTTGATGTTTATAATAATAGTTAAATATATTATTCTTTACATAAAATTTTTTTTATATGCAATGCATGTAATATGAAGATCACACATTGTGTTAGTATCAAATCATCTTATATAATCCTCTCAATCTTGATGATTAACATAGACCATTGCTAAATATTTTTAAAGAAAAGTCATTAAAAATTGTTCTACCATTTTATAGATAGTTCCAAAGAAGCATGCCATGTTCCAATTGTAAAAATATTTTGTTATCTATGTATGAAAATGAATTTTAACTTATGCATTTTAAATTTTAGGATATTGCATTATCAGCAAATGAGTATGCTGAGTGATACCAAATATTGGTGTTTGGCTTATCCAGAACCAGATCAATCTGTTGTTGCTAGGTCAATACATCATGCCAAGACCGTAGAAAATTTACCTTATAATTTCAGTGCTCGACGTTATATGGTTATTAATGGTTTGATACCAGCTCTTAATGTTTTGTTCATCTTTTTTTTTCTGTCATTCTTGGTCATATTTGAACCTATTAGAATTCTTCTGATGCGTGTAAGATAATCCATTCATTAATAGCAGAGTTGTTTTTAAGTTATTTAAGCCCAACATATTTTTAGGATCTTTAATTATTTATATTATAGTTAATTTATTTCTGAACATACAACATTGTGTTGTATTAATAAATTTTATTAGAATTTTTTTTTTACTTACAGATATTAAATTAAAAAATGAAAACTTTTAGTTGTTAAAGAAAAAAAAAATACATATTAATTTGAATAAATAAAATAGTTCAATTTTTAAATAGATGTTAAAGCAGGCTCTATATGTTTCATGCAGAAATTAAATGTGTTTTGTAATTAGCAGTTAGTCAATTCGTTATTTAGAAGTATTTAAAATGTAATAGATTTATTGACTATTATAATAGAATTAGTCTATACTCAATGAACAATAACATCCAAATTATTAAGTTTATCTTATCAACAATTTTATTTGAATTTATTGGTATGATAAATAATAATTTTACTCTCTAAAGAATAAGAACCAATCTAGGTAGTAGACAAAACATGTTATTCCAAATGAACTGCTAGTATGTCATTAGTATTATGAAAAATTGTTATTTTCCTTTAATCATGTATAATATAATTAATGTACAGTGAATTAAAGAAATTACTTCAATTATACGAATTGAATATTATACTCCTTTTGTATCCGAATTAGGTCTAAAATTTAGATGAGTGTTATGTAAGCGTATATTCTTTAAAACTAAAAAAAAAAAATCTTTTTAAAATAAACTTGGTTAACTTAGAATTTCCGAACCCATATCTTAAGAACAGCTCTGATTATTAACTAGTATTTTTTTTAAATTAATTAGTATTTAATTTATACAAAATTGTAGTTTTCATATTTCTTTACGGGTGGATTGGTATCAAAAGCTGGTCCAGGTGAAAAGTTATCAAAAAACTTATCTATGACATTTTCTCTGATTGGTTACGGGACAACATCCGTCAAGTTTCCTACTACTGATGATAAGGAGGGAACAACTCAAAAAAATATTACCGCCACAAGAAAAACTATTGTTCAAGTAATTATTATTTATACTAGTTGTTTATATATTATTGGATTTATAAATAATCAATATTTATAGATCTATTTTTGAAATTGTTTTTTTATTTATAGATTGAAGCTGAAAACCCAGGTTATGGATTCACTAGTAAAGCTGTTATATTGGGAGCGATAACTATATTAAAAGACCAAATGAATATTCCTAAAGGGTATAACATTTTATATCAAAATAGTAGTTTTAAATATATTAAGGTATGTTATGTTATATATAGGGGTGTTTTAACACCAGCAGCTGCATTCCGTAATACTCAATTTATAAATCGTTTAATAAAACATGATGCTGCAACTTTTCAAATCGAGTCTGACTTGGTTACATACAGTGAAGAAAAAAAATAAATTCATGTCATTTGGTTGATTTTAGTCTTTTGTAGTATTTAAATTGTATTTTAATATAGTTCTAAAATTAATTTTTTTCATTTTATATATTGCTTTTTAAACTTTAAATAATTCATTGAAATTTTTCATTAATGCAAATTTTAATGATTTTAATTACTTAAAGTTAATAATCATCACATATTTTATATCATATATCTGCTTTTTAAAAGATAATACAGTGGAACTTTACTATCTCGAAGTTTTTATATGTTGAATTTTTTTTTAAGTACTGGAATTGACTTACGTGTTAAATTATTTCGGTATATCTAATTTTTCTAAATCGGAAGTAATTATCTGGTACCTACTGCCTATTATGATTCACTAACTCAAGTTTATCCCTTCTCCCCTCCTGTCATGTTCATTCAAGAAATTTTCAATACAAACTCCGAAGTTATCCTTTTGTTAGTGACTGGAAAATATAAACAATCATTTTTAATTATTTCACTCTTGCAATTGATTTAAAATGTTAAACAAATATAATCTAACAAAACTATTTATAAACATATTAAGCACCCACTCACGTATAATAAAAAAGGCTCAGGTGAAGCTAAAGCCCAATTAACTCTATCTGTGTGCATGCCTATGAGAATAACCATAATTTAAAAATTAAATTATGTTCATGTTTTGTAGTCTTATTATTTATTTTATTATAACTTATATATTTATTGAATAAAATAAAAATAGTTTATTATAGTTAAAAATTTGTTCTTTCAATTATAATAAAATAAGTACTTCTATAAATAATAACGAACTGTTATGTTGCTAATATAATAAATGTACACTTGGTTATGTAGGTATCTAATATTTTGTAAAACTTGAGTATTGGTTAAACACAAATTTTTTTTTATTAAATTGAAATATAATTTTACCAAATTTTTTTTAAATTGGTATTATTGATAAAACTGGTCCAAAATATTGAAAAATTCACAGATATCATCATGTCAACTATGATTGGTCACGGAACATCTATCAAAACTTGTTACTTACAAACAACATTTAAAACTAATATAAATTATCGGAAACATCACTTAAGTTATAAACCTTGATTAATGTTTGTTAATTTGTTTACTGAAAATACAAGGAAATTAACACAAAGATCATACTATAACAAGGAAAACTATTTTTTAACATTCATTAACATTAATTATTTATATAGTATGGAATGTATAAATATATTTACAATACTTAAAGATGTAACTTGGACATATTATTATATTTTTAGGTGAAAGCTTAAAACCAAGGTTATTAATGGATTCACTTGTAAAGCTGTTTTCTTAAGAGCAATGACTATTATAAAAGATATTATTAATATTCCTAAAAGGTATAACATTTTACTTAAAAACAAAATATTTATAAATTTAAAATATTATGTTTTACAAGAGTGTTTGATTTTTAATTACCAAATTCTATAAATTTCAATTTTTGAATCATTAAATTGATGATGATGCTATAGTTATTAAATTTTTTTTCAATTTGGTTACTAACTGACAACATTTAAGACTAATTTTAATTATTGTGTATATAACTAATAGTGGTGACACATTTATATAAACAGATAAGTAATTTTTATATTTTACAATTTGAGTACGATTTTTTAAAAAGAATTTATACAAGTTAAAAATAGATCATTAATACTATATGATTTAAGTTTGTAAATTAAAATAGAGTGGTTTACTTTACCAAATGTTTTTTAAAAGTTCACGCCTGATCAATAAATGCATCAATTATTGATTGTTTAAAAATATATAAGTAATGGACGTTGCACTCAACGAAAAAAACAAAACAGTTATTTGCACTTTATAAATAGTAGAATTGACTTTATTTTATAATTAGTATAGGGATAGCTATAAGATTAGTCAGATTTACTAAAACATTATAGTCAAGATATTATAGTTATTTTGACTGAAATATACAGTTTTACTATATTTTTATAATATTGAATACTTTTTTATTTAGTCAACTTGAATAATGTTTATAGTTATAATAACTAAAACTCATAGTTACCTCCACTGTAAGGTTAGTAAAAGTTACTTAACATAAATAAGTATTTACTATTAAAAATAGTTGACTGAACTACAATTCGAAATTATTATAACTATAAATTGAAGTGCTCATTTCTAATTGAGATGATTATTATTATTATTATTATTATTTTTTTTTTTTTTTAGTAACATTTATGTATTATTTATTTTGCATATGACATCGGCTATAATATCCTAACTTACACTATAAAGTAACAAAAAAAAAAAAAAATAAATAAATAAAATATTAAGTATGTAAATGGGTTTTTCTTCTTTGTAATTCTATGTATTTATAATAGATAATTGGCATTTTAAATTAAATTGGTATTGATTAGTTTGTTTATTTTATTTACTTTTATAGTGCTGTTTTCTAAAAATGCAAATCAATTAAAATATGTACCTATTAGAAAATTGTTATTTTAGCGCTTTTTTCGTCATTTGTATCATACTTTTGCTGATTAGGTAGTTTATTTTTATAGGTTATTTATTTTAAATTTTCTAATTTTTTAATTCGGTCTGTATCGCGTGGTCGGAGGAACCTTATCACAATATTAGTTATCCAGAGAAGGTTTTCTATTCCTTATGGATTAGTTTTCCGTAGCTGAGGGTTATAGCACTATATTAGAGATATTTACCAATAATAAGACACGTTTGGTTTATATATCTATAATAATTATTATATTTAAAACAATTCGTTACTGTATGGAAGATGGATGTTAATAATTGTATTGTCGAGTTCGCTTGTGTTGATGGTTAATGTTAAACTGAGCGTGCTGTGTGTTATTTTAGTATATTCATAATAATTTTGACGTGTTAAAAAATGTTTAGTATATATATTTTGTGTTCATCAATCATATTGATGTATTTATTGTGTAAAATCCATAGAGATTGAAAGCATTTATTTTCTTATATCGCAATTCAATGCAATCGGTAATTTATGGAAAAACCGCGGCACACCTAGTGCATACTCGCGGCACACCAGTGTGCCGCGGCACCCAGTTTGAAAACCACTGGTATAGACGTATGGTATGTAATGAATGTTACCAAAAAAAAAAAATTTCCGGAGTATTAACAACCATCTTGAAAATATAGCATGGTCCATGGAATATACAATTTTTATCAAATAGATATGAAAAAAAAAAAAACAAAAATATCGGCGTATCGTTCATAAGTTTACAGAATATTACAATTTTTAACAATTGATATGAAAAATAAAAAATAATGATATTTCAGACACATATTGTTTTATAGTTTTACATAATTATTTTAATTATTTTTACACAATTCATTTTTAAAAATATTATTACAAATAAATATAGTTCTATAATCTATAATATTTCAATTTTGATAATTATTATTAATTTATTACTCTCAAGAAATTATACCGTGAACTAATATATATATATATATATAATATAATATAATATTATGTTATTATTATTTATTTTATTTTTTATATACCTACTTGTAGGTAAGTATTTACTTATGAGTGTTTCTATACGACACCAGCAGTAAATAACTTTTTATACCGTGTAGAAATCTTAACATAATTCATTATTCAAGTAAAACAGTACACATATGTCTATTGTACATCTTATAAATTGAGCTATGGCTCCATAACTATACGTAAATATAACAGCATTATAATTATACATAATATGTAACTTATTAATATTACCTAAGTTTACAATATAATTTAAAAACAAAATTGGTTACCTACAATACTTTAATACCATTTAGTTTATTTCATTTTAATTCACTTTCTATTAATTTGAATAAGTCAAATAATCATTATAATATTTATTACCTAATACAATATATATTAATCCTACATTTAAATCTGATATTGTACAATTTTTGTTAAGTAATATAAATTCCATATTTTGATTTTTGATTTGAATAAAATGTTCATTAAATTAAAATATTTTATTACAATGCTAGTAAAATTAATAATTCCTGTAAAGATTCTGAAACAATAAAATATGACAATTAATGTTAAAAATGTTATGATAATACTATATGTACATATGTTAATTCTTATAGCTTTTAGTGTTATTTATTTATTTATTTATTTATTTTTTTAATAATACAATATCGGGGTACCTAGGTACAGTTTTCTAGAATTGTATTCTACTGAGAAATGTAGAGGTTTGTTTTTTGTAAAATGCTTTTCTTGATTTTTTTTAAAATTATATGTATTATATTGTAATCTACTGTTCCCGCAATGGCCGTAATTATGTATAATGCGTATTGATGAACATAATACCTATAAACTATAAGTTTTTTCATCGTCTTCTATTTTTTTGTCAATTTCATTTATTATAGAGAGTTCAAGTTATTTGATGATTCATATGTATATTATCTCGTAATTGAGACAGCTTAATAGCTTACTATTCGTAAGTGTCATTGTTAATAATTTTGAATGTTTTATTTGATTAATTTTTTCTTATATCTGTTATATTAACTAACGGAAAGTTTGGATGTAATGAGGTAGACAATTATTTTTTAGTTATCTTTGTTGGTTTTAATATTATCGTTGGCGTGTACAGTACGCAAATGTCTGGGATCGTTAGAGTTTCTGCCCCTTGTAGGGCGCGATGTGTAATAATATGAAAGCATACTAAGTAATAGTGGTTATTTTTGATATCCAGTATATAAATTTGTTACCATTGCTCAATTTTTTAAAATAACTATTATTAAATATTTAATGTCCGACTATACATTGTTTTAAAAGTTCTGTTAAATTTACGGAATTAAAAATTTGAATCTCACAAATTTAATTTAATAATTTTTATAAAAATTAACACTTGTAAAAAAACAGGATTTATCATTTCCAATTATCGCACAATCTTTTACTTCCGTTTCCATTGAGTTATGAAATGTTGTTTATCTCTAGAAACCGTCAAGTATGGGTTTTTTGGTTTGATGAAAACAAATTGAAAATTTGTAATTTCAATGGGCATAGATTATAGTCGAAATTGTGTGTATTCTGTCGGGTCGTATAATGGAAAAGTTATTATAAATA